AGCTGGGGGCAGGCCCAAGGTTGCCCCCCCCGGACTCCAAAGGAGGCCCCGCGGCCTCCAGAGCACCCCTCTCGAGGCCCATGGGGGGGGGGGGGGGCAGGGGGGCTCCAAAAATAGGAGCTAAAAAAACTGTGGGCACCGCGGCCTCCAGGGAACCGCTCTCGAGGCCCATTGGGGGCCCAGGGGGGCTCCCAAAACTGGAGCGACAAATGCTGGGGACACCCTGAGCTCAAGTCGGCCATGTTCCTCTACAGGAGGACTATCCAAGAATAGTAGACATATAATTTGGTGACAATTTTCCGAGCTCTTTTTAACACATGTTGGATTATTCAATCGCTTCGCTCACTCCGCCGGCCCGTATTGCATGATCGCTACTGCTTCGGCGCGGGCTCGGGGCCATTTCGGCGCCGTCGGAAGGAGGAAGATGAGGATGGGCAGGGGGAGGGGAGGAGGAGAAGAGGATGAGAAGGAACGGAGGAGGATGAAGATAAATATGAGGAGGAGGAGGAGGAGGAAGAGAAAAGGGCGGAGGAGGACGCCTCTCGATGGCATTTTGCGGCGCTCTTGGGGCCAAACAGGGCCGTCGTCCAGATGCTTCTTTGGGAGGCCCTGGGGTCTGTTGAGAGGCCGTTCGGGGGCGCCTGGGAGACATTTTTGAAGCCTTGTAGAGCCTCTTTTGAGCCTCCTTGGAGCCTCCTGGGGTCTCCTGGGGGCCTCTTGGCGGCATCTTGGGCCATCTTGGGGGCCTCTCGGGGCCTCCTGGGGCCCTCTTGGGGCGGAAGGCTTGAGGTTTCGGTTCGTGGTCCCCATCTTGGGCCCCTCTTGGGTCCGTCTTGGGGCTCTCTTGGGCCATCTTGGGCGTCTCTTGGGCCGTCTCGGGGCCCGTTTGGGCTCTCTGGGGGCCTTCTTGGGGGCCTCTTGAGCCGTCTTCGTGCGCTCTTGGGGGCCTCTTGGGCCGTCTTGGAGCATCGGAAAGCAGAAAATGCGACAAGGCCAAAATCCTTCCAAAACCATCGTAAAATTAATGATTTTGGCCTCTCGGGGCGCTCTTGTGAGGCCTCTTGGAGGCCACTTGGAGCGTCTTGGCGGCTTCTTGGGCCGTCTTGGGATCATCTTCGGCGTCTTGGAGCTTCCTTTGGGCGTCTCGAGGGCCTCTTGGGCAGTCTTGGGGGCCTCTTGGGGCCCTCTTGGCGCGCTCTGGGGGGCCTGAGAGGCCGTACCCAGGAGGAAAACCATCTCTGAGTAGACCTTCCCGGGCTGCGGTCGGGGTACTTTTCGCCGGGGGACCCCCAGGGGCCGCCCCGCGCGCGCGAACTAGAAATACTGTTAAGTAGTTACCGGAGATCTTAGCACGCCGCTGGCCCGTTGGGCCGGCGAATTGTTGGAGTATTGTTTGTATTCTTCTTCCAAGCTCCGCCTCTAGGAGAACACCGTTCGGTACAATGATGGGAGCCTCTCGTTTCACCCGTCGGTGTCCTGGGCGTTGATTTAGTCCAATGTAGTCCGAAGTTAGTCCAAATTAGTCCAGATTAGTCAAATGTAGTTCAGAATTAATCAAAATTAGTCCACATTAGTCCAATTTAGTCCAATGAGTCCAGAATTAGTCCAGATTCGTCCAGATTTGCCAAACTTATTCCAACATTAGTCCCAAATAGTCTAGATAAGTCCTATTTATTCCGCTTTGGTCAAATTTAGTTCAAAGTTAATCCAAGTTAGTCTAGACGGGTCAAAATTAGTCGGGTTTAGTTTGGCTTAGTCCGATATTAGATTACGTTGCTCCGCCGCGCGATCGCCGTCGGGGCTACGCCCTCGCCGCCGCCCCGACCTGGGGGGGGGGAAGAGAAAGAGAGAGAGAGAGAGAAACAAACAAACAATCACAACATGCGTCTTGAGGGGGAGAGAGGAGAGAGAGAGAGAGAGAGAGAGAGATATAGAGAGAGAGAGGGAGAGAGAGAGGGGGAGAGAGAGAGAGAGGGAGATAGATAGAGAAAGAGAGAGAGAGAGAGAAAGTGAGAGAGAGAGAGGGAAAACAGAGCAGAGGGCTAACCCAGAATAATTCAGACTAACTTCGACTAAATGAGCGATTCCGCTGGACCACGTCCGACATCTGAGGCTCCCAACATCGCGACCTACCCCTGGGCCAGGGTCCCAGAGATCCGACGCAGGACCGGTTTTTCATCCCGATTCTTTTTTCACGGCCCTGGGGCCCAGCGAGGGCCCGCAGAGGCCGAAAATTGTGACAAACCCCCGTCCTGTTTTTTCAGGAGGAGGAGGAGGAGGAGGAGGAGGAGGAGGAGGAGGAGGAGGAGGAGGAGGAGGAGGAGGAGGAGGAGGAGGAGGAGGAGGAGGAGGAGGGAGGAGGGGGAGGCGGAGGAGGAGGCGGAGGCGGAGCGGAGCGAGGCGGAGGCGGAGGCGGAGGCGGAGGAGGAGGAGGAGGAGGAGGAGGAGGAGGGGAGGAGGAGGAGGATGGGGAGGTGGAGGCGGAGGCGGAGGCGAGGCGGAGGCGGAGGCGGAGGCGGAGGCGGAGGCGAGGCGGAGGAGGAGGAGGAGGAGGAGGAGGAGGATGAGGAGGAGTTGGAGGAGGAGGAGGAGGAGGAGGAGGAGGAGGAGGAGGAGAAGGAAGTGCGTGGCATCTCCGGGGCGGCACCTCTCCAGCAGCCCACCCGGCGCAGCCCCCGCGCCGCCGCCGCCCGCGCGGGCGCCCTGCCCGCCGCGCCGCCGCTGCCGGGCACCGCCGCCGCGGCCTGCCTCGCGGCCGTGGCGTGCCTCGGGCTCGCCGCCGCCCTCGCGGCCCCGCTCGCCGCCGCCGCGCGGCGCCCCGGCGCGGCGCCTGTGGACGGCGCCTACGAGCGCTGCCGGGGCGCGGCGTGAGCCCCGCCTGATTGGCCGATTTTCCACCACCACGACCACTACCATAGGTAGGAGAGGGTGGAGGAGGAGGAGGAGGAGGAGGAGGAGGAGGAGGAGGAGGAGGAGGAGGACCCCCCATCCTCCCTCCCCCGTCCTGCCCATGGTAGTTATGGTGCGAAGTTGGCCCATCACCGCCGCCGCGCCGGGGGTGGCCGCGCGGCGTACCGTGCGGGGATTCGGCCGCAGGTGCCCGAGAGATCGGCGCGAGTGGGCCACAAAGTTTATGATTAGCCTTGGTCACCAGAAAGAGTCTCGAGCACCAGGAGATTACCGAAACGGAAGGGTTTTCACGTGTCTGGCCCTGGGAGGCGAGACTGGTTCGACACTGTTTCGGCACTTTTCTGGCCGCCCGAGCTTGTTCCTGGGAGGTGGCCCCTAAGTACGACGGGAGCAACAAAACACAACATCGGGGCGGGGGTTCTTCGCCGTCCTCGGCCCCTGGATGGGGGGCGAGCGAGGGGGGGGAGGCCTGCTCAGGAGGCGGCGGGGCCTCTCAGAAGGCCGCTCTGGCCCTCGGAGAAGCTTCCCTGTGGCTTCGGGGAGGGCTTAGAAGACATCTCAGGGGGCCAGGGTCGGGAGGGAAAAACCACACCGACCTAAGCAATCGTCGATTCCCCCAGAATCTACCTGGGAAACTACGTGGGAAGCGGGGGGGGAGGGAGACGGAGCTCCAGAAGACATGGCAAAGTGGGGGTTGAATCCTGGGACATGCGTGTGCAGCTCTGCCTGTGAACCCCCGGGGGCCCCTTCACGGGGGGGACTCCCGCGCGCGAGCCTTCTGAGAAGGAGAGGGCGCCCCCCATACCTCTAGCCTTCCCTCGTGTTCCCCTGTTCTGTTGCCTCCTGGGCGTTCCTCGTCGCCACCGCTGCATTCGCCTCGAAATCCTGGTCAGGATGCACCCCAGGAGAGGTACCTTTTTGCTTTCCCCATCCCCGGCCCGTTTCGGCTTCTGTCCCACACATGGTGGTCGATCTGCTTTGAGCGTAGCTCGCCGTTGTGCTTCTCGACCCGCCGATTTCAACCAGTCGGCCCACCAGAGGAAAGACGTGTGTGTGTGTGTATGTGTGCGTGTGTGTATGCCTGCTTGTGTGCGTGCGCGTGTGTCTTCTATCCTTCTCTTCTCTTCATCTTCGCTTCTTTTCCTCGTCTTATCCTGCCTTGAATCCTCGTCCTATTCTGTCTCTCCGCTCCCCGTACTCCCGCCCCCACCTCTTCTTCCACCACATCCTCCTCTCAATATGTCTCCCTCTTTTCATTATCCTGCGCATCCCTCTTCTCTTCGTGCCCCCTGATTCACTTACCATTTCTAATAAAGGATGATGACAGAGGTTCAACTATTTTCAGATGTGATATTCGCTTTGGTGCTGCGCACTCTCGTCCTCAATGTATTGCCAGCTACACGGATGTAGGGGGGCCCTTTTCAAAACGTCGCTCTCGATTCAGCATTGCGCGCGCTAGCCTTCTTCAGCCGAAACAGCTGCAAGAACTTCGCGGAGGGCGGTTCCATTTCAACCTTAGGATCTCGCTCGAGAGCTCTTCAGCTCGTATGATGCGAGGGGCGTCCCGTAAAACAGTGAGGCTCATGCTTGAAGTCCTGCGATCTCGCGGAGGGCGGTTCCACTTCAGCCTCAGGATCTCGCTCGAGAGCCCTGCAGCTCGTGTGATGCGAGGGGCGTCCCTTCGAGCAGCGGGGCTCACGCCTGAAGTCCTATAGGGCACAGCTGTTCGGACGGAGGGCGGTCCTTCTTCACGGGTCCGTGCTCTCCTTCACATGGCCCCGGGGTGCTCCGCAATTTCCCCCCCGGGGTGCGTGTGCCCCCCGCGGTGCACGGGAGTGCCGCATCAGGGAGAGAGGCGCGCGCGGAGCTGGGACAGGGCGGCGCGCCTGCACCGCCGTCGACGCCTCCCGGGTTTCATCCGGCGACTTGGATCCGTCAGGTGATGCGAGGCGGGGGAGGAGTGGGAGGAGGATGATAGAGGAGGAAGAGGAGGGGGATTCGGTGGGGAGGGGGGGAGCTCGCATCACGTGACGAAATCCCTCTGCCTGTTCATGGTCCTCCTCGTCCTCCTCCGGCCACGACCTGCGCGCAGGCGCGCGCGCGCGCCCGTCCCCCCCGCGCGTGAATTAGGGGGCCACCTGCGAGCCCTACCCACCACCCCACGATTTCTCAGGGGGGAGGTGGGGTTCACGTGTTTCGGGAGGTCCCGAACGAGGGGAACCCCACCTCCCCCCTTCGAAATCGTCGGGCGGTGGGGCAGGGCTCGCATGTGGCCTCCTGTGAATGGGGGGCCCGCGGCGGCTTGCAATGGTGGACGGCTGACCCGAGCGGCGCCTCCGCTGGGATGGACTCCGGCGGCGGAGACAAGGCCAAGAAGGGTCACAAGAAGGCGACCTCAGGGCGCAAGGCCAAGAAGAAGAAGGAGAAGCAGACGGGCAAGGTCGAGCGGCACAACCCGAAGGCCCACACCTTCTCGGGGGGCGTCAAGAGCGTCGAGAAGCGGGTCCGCCGCACGCTGGAGCAGCAGTCGAAGAAGGAACACGCTCCGAAGGTGGACAAGACCCCCGACATCCCGCCTCCCTTCATTGTTGTCGTGCACGGCCCGCCCGGCGTGGGCAAGACCACCTTGATCCAGTCGCTGGTGAAGCATTATGCGCGCCAGCAGGTGGTCAAGCTGCAGGGACCCGTCACGCTCGTCAGCGGCCGCCATCGTAGGCTGACGATCATGGAGTGCCCGCAGGACATGGGGGCAATGCTGGATTTGGCCAAGGTGGCCGATCTGGTGCTCCTGATGATCGATGCATCGTTTGGCTTTGAGCTGGAGACGTTCGAGTTCATCAATGTGCTGCAGGTGCACGGCTTCCCGAAGGTTATCGGTGTGCTGACTCACCTGGACAGGTTCAACGACAACAAGCAGTTGCGGAAGGTGAAGAAGACGATGAAGCACCGCTTCTGGTCCGAGCTGTTCGACGGCGCCAAGCTGTTCCATCTCAGCGGCCTGCAGTACGGCAGGTACCACCGTCTAGAGGTCCAGAATTTGGCGAGGTTTATCGCAGTGACCAAGGGCACGGTGCTCTCGTGGCGGCAGAGTCACCCGTACATGCTTGCGCTGAGATGGGAAGACCAGACCGACCCCACCGAGCCTCCGAGCGCGCCGCGAAAGCTGGACCTCTACGGCTACGTCTGCGGCGGCCGGCTGCGGGAAGGCACGCACGCGCACCTGGCCGGCGCGGGGGACTTCCAGATCGCAGCGATCAAGTCCCTGATAGACCCGTGCCCGCCCCCCACAGAGGTGGAGTCCCAGAAAGAGAGGGCGAAGGCCGCCGCCATCGGCGATAAGCCGGCCAAGCCCAAGAAGAAGAACGCCCTGCGCACGCTCGCCGAGAGGCACCGCATCATCTACGCGCCGGGCTCCGACGTCGGCAGCATCACCGTGGACTCCGACGCCATGTACATCCAGCTGCCAGACCACCAGGCCGAAGTCGGGCATGCCCCTCTACAGGAGGAATGTTGAAGAGTAGGAGAAACAACTATAATCTGGAAACGGTTGTTCGTGCTCTCTTGATTATGTTTGATTATTGTTTTGTTTATTTTGACTATTTCTTATTGAATCGCTTCGCTCATTCCGCCGGCCCGTGATATGGCATCGCTGGTTTTTGTCTGTGTGTTCGTTGCCCATGTTGCGCTCTTGGGGGCGGGTGTCGTTCGGACGCGTTGCGTGGGGAGTTTTGATGGTGAAGCAGTTCCCTGGGGGTCGTCTCTCGATGGGGCGAAATAGAGTCGTCGTCAAGATGCTTCTTTGGGGGGCCTCTTGGGGTCTGTTGAGAGGCCGTTCGGGGGCGCCTGGGAGACATGTTTGAAGCCTTCTGGGGCTTCTTTTGGGCCTCCTGGGAGTCTCCTGGGGCCTCTTGGCGACATCTTGGGGCCTCTTGGAGGCCTCTTGGGGCCTCTTTGGGACCTCCTGGGCGCCTTCTGGGACGGAGGGCTCCATTTTTGAGTTCTCGGTATCCCTCCTGAGTCCCTCTTGGGCCCGTCTTGGGGCCTCTTGGTCCGTCTTGGGCGGCACTTGGGCCGTCTTGAGGGCTCTCTTGGGTCGTTTCGGCGCCGTCTTGGGAGCTTCGTGGGCCGTCTTGGAGCGGTCTTGGGGGCCTCTTGGGCCGTCTTGGAGCGTCCGGAAGCCGAAAAAGCCAGAACACAAAAAACATAGAAATTATCCCAGCGCGACCCTACCTAGCAGTTGGAGCCCCTAGGAAAGCAGCATAAGCTAAGCTAAGCTAAGCTAAGCTAAGCTAAGCTAAGCTAAGCTAAGCTAAGCTAAGATAGCTAAGCTAAGCTAAGCTAAGCTGAGATAAGCTAAGCTAAGCGAAGCTAAGCAGCGGTAAGCTAAGCTAAGCTAAGCTAAGCTAAGCTAAGCTAAGCTAAGCTAAGCTAAGCTAAGCTAAGCTAAGCTAAGCTAAATGCGCGATAAGCTAAGCTAAGCTAAGCTAAGATAAGCTAAGCTAAACTACGCTAAGCTAAGCTAAGCTAGGCTAGGCTAAGCTAAACTAAGCTAAGCTAAGCTAGGCTAAGCTGAGCTAAACTAAGCTAAGATGAGACAAGGAAAGCTAAGCTAAGATAAGCTGAGCTAAGGTCAGCTAAGGTAAGGTAAGCTAAGCTAGGCTAAGCTAGGCTAGACTAAGCTAAGCTAAGATGAGATAAGCTAAGCTAAGCTAAGCTAGGCTAAGCTAAGCTAAGCTAAGCTGAGGTAAGGCAAGTTAAGCTAAGCTAAGCTAGGGGAACCCAGGGGGCGCAACCGGGGGAACCAGGGGGGCGCAACCGGGGGAACCGCCCGGGGTGGGTAGCATTGCCCGCCCCCTTTAGCAAACAAAGTAAGAACCCTTCTAGGCAGAGCCTAGGTAGGGAAAAACACATGAAAATCAACGATTTTGGCCTCTTGGGGCTCTCTTCGGAGGCCTCTTGGAAGGCTCTTGGGGCGTCTTGGAGGCCTCTTGGGCTGTCTTGGGGGCCTTTTGGGCCGTATTGGGGTCATCTTCGGCGTCTTCGAGCGCTCTTTGGGCGTCTCGGGGGCCTCTTGGGCAGTCTTGGGGGCCTCTTGGGGCACTCTGAGCGCGCTCTGGGGAGCCTGAGAGGCCGCACCCAGAAGGAAAACCATCTCTGAGTAGACTTGGTCGGGCGGCGGTCGGGCGGCGACGGGCGGCGACCGGGCGTTGGTCGGGGTACTTTTCGCCGGGGGACCCCCAGGGGCCGCCCCGCGCGCGCGAACTAGAAATACTGTTAATACTGTTAACCAGTTACCGGAGATCTTAGCACGCCCTGGCCCGTTGGGCCGGCGAATTTAATCGCTTCGCTCATTCTGCCAGCCCTGGAGCGCTCTTTGGGGCCTCTTGGGGGCCTCTTGGGGGGCTCTTGGGCTTCTTGGGGCCCCTCGGAGGCCACGATCCTCGTGAGGGGTGTCGAAATGGTCCTCCCCTGGGGCGTTCTGGGGGGATCGCCCGGGAGTGGACCGGGGGACCTGGCGGGGGTTTTTCTCGTCCGGGGGCCCCCAGGGGCCGCCCCGCGCGCGCGAACTAAAAATATTGTTGACGAGTTGCTGGAGATCTTGGCACGCCTCTGGCCCGTTGGGCTGGCGGATTTTTTCTTTCAATACTACGTCCGGCTTAAATAATGGACACTTGCTTTTCAAAAGGGGCTCGGTCGTTCCTTTGGTTTGCATGCGTTCCGCCACCTTTTGGCGGCGAGCCCCCCTGGTGTTCCTTCGAACTTCCTAGACTTACTTGGAACAAAAAGGGGCCTCGTTCCTTGTTCATCGCTCCTTAGGTCAGGCCGATGACTGTATCCGCCTGTAGGAGGACGTGCCCGGCCCAACACCAGGCCGGCTTCACCAGGCAGGAGGGCGAGGCCGAGGGGCGGGAGCTGCCGGAGGCCGTCCGCCTCGTCCGGGAGCTGCAGGCCAAGGACCGCAGGCTGCGCGCACAGGTCGAGCAGGGGGACCGCCTGCAGTCGGCGTCACCCCAACATGCCAATACGATGTGTTCGTCGCCCCCCCAGGGGCGACGCGCGCACCGAGAAATCTTAGAGTATATGCTTCGTGGCGGGCGCTTTCGGGCCACACCGCTCGGGAAACGGTATACAAGATGGGTATACTATACGTTCGGGTCGGACGCGCGCCTCCAAGGACGACATATAGTACTAGTATGTCTCTGTGCCTCCCATACAGAGTCGATTTACCCCCACAATTGGTTTTCCCGTCGAATCTGCGGAGAGTACGTCGAGTTATCCGTGGATCTATTGAGCATTCAACGCATTTTTCGTGGATCCGACCGCCCACATAATCGATTTACCCCGACAATCGGTTCCCCCGCCAGTTCTACAAAAAGTACGTCAGATGATCTGTAGATCTTTTGAGCATTCAACGTATTTTTCGTGGATTCGACGGAAATCCACGATTTCGTGGATTTCCGTGGATTTGTGATGTAGGTTTTGTTGATTTTTCGTGGGTTCAATCCACGATTCGTGTATCTGTCGTGGACGTTTCGTGGCTTTCTGTGGACTTCGGGGGCAAATCAATTCTGTAGTCGATCCCCTGCCCGAACTGAGCGGCCCTTCCTTCGCCAGAGGGGCCTGTCAAAAGACGCGGCGCGGCGCGGCGCAGTCGGCGCCGTCGCAGTCGGTATCTATCGCTCTGGGGGGGTGACGTAGTCTCGGCCAGACTTTTCATTCGTCACGGCTGGGGGGGAGGTCGAGTATTTCGCGAGTTAGTTCTGTCTTTCGTGCCTCCCGAGACCAGGGCCCCGCGATGCGCTGCCGGGGGGTGATGTCAAAAGGCGCGGCCTCCGGGCCTGCTGGCGCGCGGGGGGCCCGAGATCCGGGCGCCGCGACGTTTTTTCACATCGGGCGCTTTGTCGCCATGGCCCCAGTCGGGCGGGCGGGCGGCAACGGGGGGAGGTGACCTACTGGGGGGTGAAGTACAGGGTCCTAAAAGAGGCATTTTAGGGATGGGCTTGTTTTACATCGCCACCACCATAAGTTGGATGGGGGGAAGGAGGAGGAGGAGGAGGAGGAGGAGGAGGAGGAGGAGGAGGAGGAGGAGGAGGAGGAGGAGGAGGAGGAGGAGGAGGAGGACCCCCTCCCCCTCCAACTTCTGGTGGTGGTGGTGGTGGTGGTGGAAAACAGGCCCATCATTTAGGGCCCCTTTTGGGCCCCTTCTGGCTCCAAAAGGGGCCCCCAAAGTGCCCCTGTAGGGCCTTCTTCTTCTTCTTCACCCCCCATGGAGGTCGCCCCCCGGCACCACACTCCCGACTCGGGCCCCAGGACCATCGCGTGGCGATCTGGCTCGAGAGCGAATCGCTGCCGCAGAGGGGTGGGGTCCCGGGGCTCCGGTCGCGCTTTTTCGCGATTTCACGCCGTTCCCTCGTCGCCGCAGCGTCGGATCTCCGGGGGGCCGCAGCCCCGAGCGCGTGGGCCACCCCCGTCCTCACCGCACGCAGCGATCGGCAGTCCGCGCTTGCCAGAGGCCGCTCGAGCGACGGACGAAAGAGGGGTCGATGGCGTCGACGTGCGCGCGTAGGCATTCCGCGCAAGGTCGTGCGTGAGCGTCCTGTCTCCGCGTGGCGTGTCACGCCGGCGGCCCGCGCGAGCCGCGGCGTCGGGGCGCCGTGCCCTCCTGCGCGAGGCCCGCTTCGTTTCGCCGCTCACTGGCCCATGGGCCGCTCTCCCTGCGTGCGGCCTAGATCTGGAAGTCAAATAACACCGGTATACCGCTGCTCCCCAGATCTCTCCCCGGGGGGGCGCTCGGACCAGGATCGCGGAGGCGAGCCCCGCGGCGACGACGAGGGCCTCCCAGGAGGGCCAAGAGGAGGAAGAGAAGGGGAGGAGGAGGAGGAGGAGGAGGAGGAGGAGGAGGAGGAGGAGGAGGAGGAGGAGTAGGAGAGGAGGAGGAGGAGGAGGAGGAGGAGGAGGAGGAGGAGGAGGAGGAGGAGGAGGAGGAGGAGGAGGAGGAGGAGGAGGAGGAGGAGGGAGGGAGGAGGAGGAGGATGAGGAGGAGGAGGAGGAGGAGGAGGAGGAGGAGGAGGAGGAGTGAGGAGGAGGAGGAGGAGGAGGAGGAGGAGGAGGAGGAGGAGGAGGAGGAGGAGGTGGAGAGGAGGAGGAGGAGGAGGAGGAGGAGGAGGAGGAGGAGGAGAGGAGGAGGAGGAGGAGGAGGAGGAGGAGGAGGAGGAGGAGGAGGGAGGAGGAGGCGGAGGCGGAGCGGAGGCGGAGGCGGAGGAGGAGGGGAGGAGGAGGAGGAGGAGGGGAGGAGGAGGAGGCGGGCAGAGGGTACAGCGGCAGGGGTGCCTTCTCCTCCGACGACAGGACTCCGCGCTCGACGCGCGGGCCCCGGCGCCCGCCGCGGCGCGCCGAGCGTCGCGGTGGACGGGCGGGCGGCGGGCGGCGCCGCGGAGGGCGGCGCGCGGGAGGCCGGCCGGGCGCCAGCCGCACGCCTGCGCACCGATCCTGGCCAGGCCGGCCCTGGGCTGACGATTTGGGCTTCAGTCGGGCCTGTCCCTCTACAGGAGGCATCTTCAATTTTTTTTTGCCTTCGTGGGAGTATTTTTTGCCAATTTTTTATGTTTCGTCCCAAATCCGCCTGTAGGAGGACATGTCCGGCCTAGATCGTTTCTTTGTTTTTGGCGATCATCGGCGTGATAAGGAGGGCGGCGGGGGGTATAACGTAACGCCCCCCCCCCCCGCCGGGTGGCTCCGGCACCACAGGGAACACTTTTTTTTTCGGGATAGCAGCCGTCACCGGCTCCGCGCCCCCCCCCCAGATGGATTCGCCGGCGGCATCCAGGAATGCCTAGGAATGACCGGGCCAACCAGGAGAAGCATGTAGGTGGCGATTTGCCCCACAGCGCCTGTGCACACCACAATGCTCGCGTGCACCACAGCGCACGTGTACACCACGGCGCCTGCGTACACCGCGACAGACGTGTGCAACGCAGCGCCTGTGTACACCAAAGTGCTTGCGTGCACCACAGCGCCGGTGTACACCACGGCGAATATGCACACCGCAGCAACCATGTGCAACACAGCGCCTGTGTACACGACAATGCTTGCGTGCACCTCAGCGCCTGTGCACACCACAGTGCCTGTCTACACCACAGCATCCACGTGCAACGCAGCGGTGGTGTACACCACAGCGCTTGCGTGCACAGGACAGGTAGAAGAAGCATGTCGGTGAGGATCTGCTGCGGACAACTAAACACCACGCCAGGGAAGTGCTGATAATAGAATGCGAAGTTCTTCCCTCCTCCCTCCTCGTCTGCCTCCACCTCCACCTCGTTTTCCTCCTCCTCCTCGGTCACCCTTCCCCCCTGTCGCGCGGGTCGGCGCTACAGCGCTCGTGTGCATCTCAGCGTGAACCGCAGAATGGTCTATTGAATCAGTCCACTTGGTTCTCAAACGGCCAATTATGTTGGTTTCTCCTGGACGCATATGGGAGGATATAGGATGATGCGTGAGGATGCGGGAGGACTTGTAGATTCCAGCGGCGCTCCGTTTTCCATGATAACCCTTGCCAGATCCTATATCAAAACCATTGTCCTCAGTGGAACCCACTGACGCTCCATTTTGTCAGAATGATTCTTTCTAAAATTCTATATGCAACAGTGACGCTCTGTTGCACACGGATGCTGCGGAGCACGCAGGCGCCGTGGTGCACAGGCGGTGTAGTGCACGCAGGCATTGTGGTGTACATTGGTGCTGTGTTGCATACGGCCGATGTGTACGCAGTCGCTGTGGTGTACACAAACGCTGTGGTGCTCGCAGGCACTGTGGCACATTGGCGCTGTGTTGCACGCGACTGCTGTTGTGTACATCAGGCAGTGTGGTGTACGCAGGCGCTGTGGTGCACGCAGGCACTGTGGTGTAAAGTGGCGCTGTGGTGCAGATCGCCACTTACATGCTACTGCTACCCTTCCTCGGTCATTCCTAGACATTCCCAAACGCCGCCGGCGCGAGACGTGACGTCCTCGGCCCCCCCCCTCTCCCAGATGGCGGCCGTCATCGGCCCGGGATAAAAACAAAAACAAAAAAACAGGCTCCAGCCGCGTCCGCGCGCACGACGACGAGCGACGAGGGACAATGACGACGACCACGACGACGACGACGACGACGACGATGACGACGACGACGACGACGACGACGGCGGACCAGACCCCTATGCGGATTCTTCTGCGGACGCCTGTGCTGATCCCGATGCGCACGGCGGCAGTGCCCATTGTGAACGGGGGGGGGGGTACGTTATAGGGGGGGCGCCGGGGGCTATAATGCGCATTGTGCCCCAAACAATAAAGAAACACGCTCGAGGCCTCCTAGATGGGGTCGGAGTAGGTGGGGTCGGAGGATCGTGCCGCATCGCCGATGCATCGGCGACGATGCATCGGCGATTCGGCTCGATGCGGCCCGATGCGGAAACGCAATTTTGTCCACGCCGACGTCGCCGATACAACGCCGACGTCGCCAGTGCATCGCCGGTGCATCGGTGATGGATCGCCGATGTATCGGGCGATGCGGTGAGGTCCTCCGACCCCATCTGCTCCGACCCCATCTAGGAGGCCTTTAACAAAGAAGCTCGAACACCAAGGGAATGCCGAAGTTGTGGAGGGTTTTCCCGCATCAGGCCCTGGGGGGCGATGCTCGTCCGACACCCTGACAGCGTGTCGGGCAAACCTTGTCTTGACACCTCTCCTGGGCACTCGAAAATATTAGTGGGATGTGGTCTTCAAGTGCGACGAGAACAACATGACCTTGGGCCCAGGATATCAATATTGACACTTGTCCTGGGCGTTCGAAAATATTAGTGGGATGTGGTCCTCAAGTGCGACGGGAACAACCTAACCTTGGACCCAGAATCTCAATCTTGACACTTTTTCCTGGGTGTTCGAACATTTTGGTGGGATGTGGTCCTCAAATGCGACGAGAACCACGTAGCCTTGGGCCTAGGGTCTCAAAAGAGGGCTGGTCGGCCACGCGCAGACGGGGGGCCGGGTGAGGGGGGGCTTGTTAGAAACAGCCTTGCTTCTTGGAAGGCGCGGGCCTTGTTGTCTGTCGCGTATAGAGAGGTCGGGCCCGCGCCTTCTAAGAATCGCAGCCTACATTCCGCTAGATGTGTGTGCGTGTGGTGTGTAAGGTGTGTGTGTGTGTTGTTTGTTGTGTGCGCGTGGTGCGCGTTGTGTTATGTGTGGCTTGTGTGCGTGTGTGCTATGCCTGTTATGTGCGTTAGGTGTTTTGTGTATATGTGTGTGCGCGTTTTAGATGTGTGTTGCTTGTGCAGGGTGTCTTGTGTGTGACATGTGTGTTTGTGTGTCGCCCCCACACTTGCTTTACTGACTCAGCCCTGTCGCCGCGCGCGAGGCCGCCTCCGCCAAAAAGTGTATGTGTGTGTGTTGTGCGTGTGTATGCGTCTGTGTGTGCACGCGTGTGTGTGTGTGTGGTATGTGTGTGTGCGGGTGTGTGCGTGTGTGTGTGTGTGTGTGTGTGTGTGTGTGTGTGTGTGTGTGTGTGTGTGTGTGTGTGCGCGGGTGTATGTGTGTATGTGTATGTTTGTGTGTGAGTGTGTTTGTGTGTGCGTGTGTGTCCTCTGTGTATGTTTTGTGTGTTGTAGGTGGTGTTCGGTGTGTGTGTGTGGGTTATGTGTGATGTGTGTGGTGTGTTTTGCGTGGTGCGCACGCGTGTGGGTGGTTCACGTCGGGGCTCGATGTTTGGAGGATGTTGCAGGCAAAACATACCTTTTTTCGAGTAATCGAGTTCATCATCATTCAAACCAATTTGGTTGTTGAAGGTTGTATGTGAACATGTGAATCATTCATTGACTTTTTGGACCGTGACGTCGCGATCTGCGTGAGGGGTGCGTCCGATGTTCAGAAATATGAGGATGTCCCGAGCGAATTGACCAGAAACACAAACGCGGCTTCAATGAATCGCCTCTGAGCTCTACTCCCTCTGAGAGGTGCGCATGAATCTCCATGTATATGCATCTACACGCATGCGTGTATATATGTGTACATATGTATGTACGTGTGTATAAGCACATGCGCCTGTGTGTATTATATATATAGATATACATATATATATATATATGTGTATTATATATATATATATATATATATATATATATATATATGTATGCATACACATGTAATGTTATATACACGTGTATGCTTGCATATGTTTAGATACACACATGTGCACGCATATGCTTGTATGCACAGATACACATGTGTACACATACATGCACGCCGATCCTGTGCCCGGAATCGGCCTAGCCAGAATCGGTGCAGGTGTACAGTTGGCGCCCTCCCAGGAGGGGGAGGACGGTGTCCAGAGCGAGGCCGCCGAGGAGGAGGAGGAGGAGGAGGAGGAGGAGGAGGACAGACGGGCCAGCGGCCCAGCGGCCAGCCGTGGTCCCTCCGCACCAGCGCTGTCTGGGCCCCGCGCGTCGGCTCCCGCGACCTTCTCCCCACGGAGAGTCGCCACTGGCGCGGCGGGTCACCTCCCCCAGAGGGGGGAAGGAACACGGCTCAGCGGCACCGACGGCGGGGGGGGGCGCGGGTGAGATGTTCGTTGTGGGGATCTTCCTGAGGCCCACCTAATCGATTTGTTCGACTCGTAGTTCGGCCCCAGTTCGACTCAAGTTCGACTCAGATTCGACTCAGGGTCGACTAAGGTTCGACTTAAGGTCGACTCAACTCGACGGACGTTCGACGCAGCTTCGACGCAAGAGTGGAGCGAGTGTCTCCAGGAAGGCCCCCAGAGTGAGCGTCCAACGTGGGGTGGGGGGAAGTCGACCCCCAGGCCTGGTCCAGGGTGCCCTCTGGCCTGAATCTCAAGGCGGCCGCCCCCAGGGAGGAGGAGGAGGAGGAGGAGGAGGAGGAGGAGGAGGAGGAGGAGGAGGAGGAGGAGGAGGAGCTGAAGGGAAGGAGGAGGAGGAGGGAGAGGAGGAGGAGGAGGAGAAAGAGCAGGAGGAGGAGGATGAGGCAGAGGAGGCGGAGGCGGAGGAAGAGGAGGAGGAGGAGGAGGCGGAGGAGGAGGAGGCGGAGGCGGAGGCGGAGGCGGAGGCGGAGGCGGAGGCGGAGGCGGAGGCAGAGGCGGAGGCGGAGGCGGAGGCGGAGGCGGAGTTGGAGGAGGAGGCGGAGGCGTAGGAGGAGGGGTAGGAGGAATAATAATAATATTATTATTAATAGTAATAATAATACTAATACTACTAATAATAAGACTAATAATAATAATAATAATAATAATAATAATAGTAATAGTAATAATAGTGATGGTACGACTGGTATTACTAAGCATACGAATAATCATAATACTACTAATAATGATACTACGAATAATCACACTAATAATATTCATGGTAATAATAACATTAATAATAGTACGCATAATAGTATCGAGTTAGTAATGAGAAGAATCATACTACTACTACTAATAATAATCATACCAATGCGAGTGACCATCATAATAACCATAACCAAAATCATAATACTATCAATACTAGCCATAATGCTAGTACTAATATTAATACTATTACTAATAATCATGATAGTAATAATAAGTGTTGAAATAATTTTATAGTAGTCGTATTCTTACTATTCATCCGAATAAAACTAAAATTAGTAGAAATTACCCTGGCGACGTACCCAACCCCTGCGCAAAAGCGGGGCGCAAATAGTTTAGGATACTTTATAAAGGGGGCGATGACGGAGCGAGGGTTACATATGTCTGCAGACGGAATTCGGGAGACTCGCAGGACACTGGCTACAGGAAAGGGGCTTGATAAAGCTGATGGTTTACAATTCCTGAGCACTCCTAGCCACTTCGAAAGCGGGAATCACAGCAGGCCTCGAATGTGGCAACAGTTTCACAGATCGCAGCCCCCCCCAGGGATGGCGAGATCTAACTTGAATCTGCCCGTGGCCCTCACTGTGCTGGGCCCCCCAGCAGGCCTCGAAAGTGGCGACAGTTTCACAGATCGCAGCCCCCCAGGGATGGCGATGTCTAATTTGAATATGCGGCGATTACCCGCTGTGCTGAACCCCCCAGCAGGCCTAGAACGTGGCGATAGTTTCACAGATCGCAGCCCCCCAAGGAGGGCGAGGTCTAATTTGGATCTGCCGCGATTGCCCTCTATGCTGGACCCCCCAGCAGGCCTCGAAAATGGCGACAGTTTCACAGATCGCAGCCCTCCCCCCCCCCTCCCCCAGAGATGGCGAGGTCTAATTTGAATCTGCCGCGATTACCCACTGTGCTGGGCCCCCCAGCAGGCCTCGAAAGTGGCGACAGTTTCACAGATCGCAGCCCCCCAGGGATGGCGAGGTCTAATTTGAATCCGCCGCGATTACCCTCTATGCAGGACCCCCCAGCAGGCCTCGAAAGTGGCGACAGTTTCACAGATCGCAGCCCCCCAGGGATGGCGAGGTCTAATTTGAATCCGCCCGTGGCGTCACTGTGCTGGGCCCCCCAGCAGGCCTCGAAAGTGGCGACAGTTTCACAGATCGCAGCCCCCCAGAGATGGCGAGGTCTAATTTGAACCCGCCGCGATTACCCTCTATGCAGGACCCCCCAGCAGGCCTCGAAAGTGGCGACAGTTTCACAGATCGCAGCCCCCCAGGGATGGCGAGGTCTAATTTGAATCCGCCGCGATTACCCTCTATGCAGGACCCCACAGCAGGCCTCGAAAGTGGCGACAGTTTCACAGATCGCAGCCCCCCAGGGATGGCGAGGTCTAATTTGAATCCGCCGCGATTACCCTCTTTGCAGGTCCCCCCAGCAGGCCTCGAAAGTGGCGACAGTTTCACAGATCGCAGCCCCCCAGGGATGGCGAGGTCTAATTTGAATCCGCCGCGATTACCCTCTATGCAGGACCCCCCAGCAGGCCTCGAAAGTGGCGACAGTTTCACAGATCGCAGCCCCCCAGGGTTGGCGAGGTCTAATTTGAATCCGCCGCGATTACCCTCTATGCAGGACCCCCCAGCAGGCCTCGAAAGTGGCGACAGTTTCACAGATCGCAGCCCCCCGCAGGCAAGACAGGAGGAGGCAGGCAGGAGGCAGGAGGGAGGCGGGAGGAGACGCGACCACACTGCTCTATTCAAAACGAATACCAACCAAGGAGGGTTGGGAATAATATTATATAAATCACAATGAATATCCATTATGCTAAATAACCATCTTCATCATCTCAAACAGACTAAATAATAAAAACAAATAATATAGAAGAATGTATGTGGGGCTACGACTAAAAATGATAATAATAATAATAATAATAATAATAATATTAATAATAATAATAATAATAATAATAATAATAATAATAATAATAATAATAATAATAATAATAATAATAATAATAATAATAACAATAATAATAATAAGAAAACTAATAAGAAGAATAATAAGAATAATAATACTAATAAGAATAATAATAAGAATAAGAAGAAGAAAAATAAGAAGAATAAGAAGGAATAGTAATAATAATAATAATAATAATAATAATAATAGTAATAAGAGGAATGATAAGAAGAAAAAGAGGAGGCGGAGGAGGAGGCGGAGGAGGAGGAGGAGGAGGTGGAGGAGGAGGCGGAGGAGGAGGAGGAGGAGGATTAGGAGGAGGAGGAGGATGAGGCAGGGGGGGGGGGCCGCTCCGCGGGGGGGGGACCGCTCAGCGGCCCCGACTGGCCCACTCCTCGCCGCCCGGGGCCCGGGTGCCTCCCCCCGCCCACGAGGAGCGCGCGGGCCTGCCATTCGGAGGGGGCCGGCCGCCGTCCGGTCGGCGATGCGGCCATCCACTCTGTGCCGCAGGTTCGGGCGCTGCCGCCCTTCGATGAGCAAAGTCTGAGGTGACAGATCGTACGTCTGGCAGCTGCACTTGTCCTCACCAAGTTCCTTCAGAAAACCCGGTCAGCAGGGCTCGAGCGCGCACGTGTTTTGGACACTTTCTCCGAGCACAGTAAATGGCTACCACCACCAAGATCGATAATAATATACGATGTTATTTGGTGCAGTTCTGCTCTGGTGAAAAGCGCGCAGTCCCCCTCCCGCCGCCAACGGCAACCGGGCTGACCCCTCTCTCGTAAGCACCGAAACAGAATTCATCAAAGCACGCGCGGTGGTGGTGTATATAATTTTGGTTACCAAGGGGTGCGATTTTTATACACCACCACCAAGAAGTGCTGTTTCTGCTTCAGGAACTCCCCATGCCACGGCGCCTGCGAGCTGCGCCGCGCTCCTTTTCGCCGTGGCGTCGCAGCGTCGTCTGGCATGACCCTGCCCCTAACCCATTTTGCGGTAAATTATTGTTGCGGGCGGTGGTGGTGTATACAAGTTGGCCTCGCACTTTCTGCAGAGCGAAAGGCTCATCTCACACACTGTGAGGCCGACCGGATTCACGAGCACAAGCTTTCACGATGAAAATTTGCCTGCCGCCCCCCCCCCCATTCAGGCTCGGGCGGGGCTACACCCCTCGACAAGATTGGCCTCGAAGGTGGTTGGCGCGCCCCCTCAACGTCGCCTCCTCTCTGCACTGCAATCTCGCCCCCTCTACCTCGTCGAAGCGGACCGAAACGGGGCCTGGGCCAGCGCGACTCGGAGGTTCCACGATGACCGACATGGGAGAGTGGGCGCCAGTGGCACGCAGCGCGCTTTTGATAAGCATTTTCACGAGTGCAGACGGCCCAGGATAGATCTCCATAACGTTCTGGAGCGCCCTGGCACGGCCGCGGCGCCCGACACTGGTCCTCTGGAGACGCCGCGGCCAGCAGAGATCTACCCGATGTGCCGGGGCCGGGTTTTTGAATCCTGGCCTTGGCCTCGTCTCTTGCAGGAGGGCGACGAGGCCGCGGAGGAGGCCGGCAGCAGCGGGGGCGAGGATCGAGCCCTGGGAAGAAGAGACACGCGGACCATGGCCAAGATGTCGCGGGATCTTGTGATCTTGTCGACGCCGATTTTGGTCATCGGGTGGCGAAGTCTATACACATCCACTGCTCCCTGGCCAGGTCCATCCTGAACCCAGCAGCGGTGTATACGCCCTCCTGGCCAAGCCAGGAGGGCGCGGCGTATACGCCGCTGCTGGGTTCAGGATGGGCCTGGCCAGGGAGCAGCGGATATGTGTAGACTTCGTCGCCCTGTGGTCATGGTGCACGCTGGCCGTCACCGACTCGCGAGGATGATCCACGAGCTGACGCTGAACAGGATGGACGATGACCAAGGTCGGCACCAACGTTTCAGCGTTCAGTTTTGGGCATGGTCACCACTTTCTTCTAGGCCTGCTGGAACGGGCCCGAGCGCATGGAGTCGGAGGATCGCACCGCATCGGCGATGTCCCGGCGATGCTGCTCGATGTGGAACCAAATTTTCTCCAGGCC